TTATTGGTAAATATATAAATAGAACGGCATAAATAACAAGTATGCTTAACTCGGGGTTGTCCGACCTGCAGATACCCTATACACAGCACTGGGATGCCACCACACGCAACACAACTTTCTTTTGACAATTGTTACATTTCTTGATTCGGTAAGTTATCGATAATTTGCTCTCTAAGACACTCTCTTAAGCTGCTGCACCGAAGAGTTAACGCGTAAATGTCTTGAGCTACTATGCGCATTTTCTGAGAAGCGCTGAGAAAGGCTGCAGCGACATCTTAAAGTATGAGTTCAAAATAATTTAAGAGCAATAATCTTTTTACATATGGAAATGTTGTAGATTAGATAGGCAAAAATGGAACAAAAAGTATTAAGAGCGAGATAGATTAATGGAGAGAAAATGCGACGAAAGTGTACATAAAGAGAGAGAGAGAGAGAGAGAGAGAGAGAGAGAGAGAGACTGACAGCTAGTTATGTAAACAAAATACGTATTTCTAGTCAATATTCGTTTAGCATAAAATATACATTTTTAATGGAAAATGGAAAAATGGCAATTGAATTTAAATTTGACGAGACGGAAAAATTGATTTTCCAACATAATAAATATGTGTACTGTTTCTTTAAGGAGCTACGCATTTATATATTACAAGTATACATAAAAGAAAAAGAAATTATGATATTCTCTGTATAACTGGTATAAAAATGGAACGAACAAATTTTTTTTGGAAATCTTTAGGCGACCAGTTTTTGAATATCTAGCAGTCTGGCTGATATATGGCAAAGTTATATATATCCACAACTTCACTCTACAACTTTGTACATTCGCACCTAAAATGGGATGAGAAACAGATTGGGCAATATTTCAGAATGTTGAGCCAAAATTGACTAGTTTAGAGTTTGTTTCATTTTCATTGGAAAACTTGGCCAAAAACTCGGCCGTGTTATAATTTTAAAGGTGTTTTTTATTTGAAAAGAAAGAAAACGAGAATGGCCAAAGGTTTTAATTGTTTGTAACGAAAATTATTCTAGGTAAGTTTTTCTCGTTTTAAATAATTTTCGCTCTGCTCCTAATTCAAAGCTTGATTTAGATTAATGAAAAACCGTTCATGCGATGCTAGAAGCCATCATTGTTCGTCTAGAGTTTGGAATATGTTGAGTGTGAATATGAAGAGTTGAGTTCACAGATGTTGGACAGAACACTAAAAGCAAACAAATAGACCCTTAAACGATACAAATTAAAGACCTTTACAAATCGTCCTATAAAACGTGATTGCTATATGTTAAGTGACAAAATCAAAGTCAATTTGGCTTTAATATTGGGCAGTCGATGCCGCTGAGAGAGGCTCAAACAAAGACTTTTGGCCAAGTTCGAACATGTTACTTAATTACCAACATAAGCCAAATTGGGCGAGGGGAGTGGTTGGTTGGGTCTAAGCAGATTATGGCTCAGTTATGCCACGCCCCAATCGGAGAAGTTTGACTATACAATTCGAAGTCCTAAGACAGACTTGCAGCAGATGGGCGTGGCATATGCGCATTATAAACAAATTGACTGAAATTGTAAGCTGCACATTAAACGAAATGATACGAACTAAACTGTTTGGACGAGAGGGGGGGTGGGGGGGGGGGGGGGTGGCAGCTTGGTTGAGGGAATCGCTGGGTCTGGCTATAAAATAAAGTCAGTCGAGCTAACTCAAGGCAAAAGTTTTTCAATAAAGCAACGCCGCGCCGTGGCCAGGACAAAATCTTTTAACTAGTTGTAACTCGATGAAGTGCAGCAGCAGCAGCGGTTAGGCAAGGACAAATCTCTGGCATTGACAAGCCAGACAGAGGCGGGCAGTTGAGAAGGGGGAGGGGGCGGGGCAGCCTGGAGAAGAATAACTCAACACGACGAAATATGCATCGAAATTTACCAATTTACATGGCAAGTGGTCGACGGAGCTTGGCAGTGTCTATAAAAAATATACCAAAAAAATATTACAAATTTGGCAGCACACACCGAGAGAGAGAGAGAGCGAGAGCGAGAGAGAGAGAGAGAGAGAGAGAGGGAGAGAAAGTGTAGCAGCGCAAGCAGAATGACAGTTGTTCAAGTTTTTAAAGAGCCATCAAATTGAAACAACAACTTGAACAAGAAGTGTGTCTGTCCCGCTTCCGCTTCCGCTCTCCCTTTCACTCTACCGCACAATCCAGCAATCCAGCAATCCGCCCCGCATCTCTCGCAAAATGCGCAAAATGTTTTGAGAGACAGCATTTCGCTCTGTTTGTCTGTGTCTGTGTGCGTTGAGCGCAAGCAAACAACGCCGCTGCCGCCGCTGCTGCTGCTGCTGCTGCTGCTGACGTCGCCGTCGGCAGCGACTGCACTTTGTCAAATATTTAAACGGCAGAAAAAGTTGCACTTTCTAATGCATAATTGTTTAGCTGCAGTCACTGGCAACTGGCAAACTTGCAACTTGAGCAGCGGCAGGCAGCCAGCGTGGCAGTTGAGCTAAATAATGTAGCATGCTTTTTTGGTGCCGACCCAGCTGAAAGAATTGCGCATGATATTGTGCGTGATAGGCGCCATGTATTCGTAATAGATTCTCAGAATGAAAACTAGATATGCATTGCAGGCGAAGATTTCTCAGCTTTGCTTGGGCCAAGTTTTTCATATTCTTCATATTTTTGACATCTGACTGTGGCAAAATATTTGTGCGTACTACCTCAACTTGTCCCTATTGCATTCCGTAAATAACATTTCGATTAAATATTTTGCAAAGGTAAATTTATAAAATAAGGGCAAAATTGTTCAAATAAGAATTGTCTTTCTTACAATAAAGAGTATTTTGGCCAAGGAATGCGATTTCCAAAATTGTAAAGAAACGCACTCATTTCTTCATAATAAAGAGCTTTGAAAATGAGTGTAAAGTCGGTCGAAAATTGAAGCTTTTCACTTATTAGAGCATTTGCTACATAATATTTGTGCGTCATTTTCCACTCAGCAGTTATGGACTTTTGGTAAAGTTCGAAATCCGTTGCATTATATTCGTACACACATCTTTGAAACCGTCTTTGAATCGTTTTCCGTTCATTAATTCCACACATGCGAGTGGAATTCAGATCGAAAATGTACAGCCAGTATAAAAGTTCAGCTTCCCAGCTTTTGCTTTTGCCTTGGCCTTGGTCCTCAAAAAATCAGTTAGTTGCATTTATATGGATATAACTTAGATAATTAATTAATCAGCATTACTCCAAAGTGGATTTCATTTCCCGTTTAAAAGGCAGGCATGCATGAATTAAGCTGCAAACATTTCGCAGACAGCTGATTCTTTGTATTACAAACTCAGAAAAAGTAATGTGCAAAGAACTAAAGCGATTTCAGTTATTGCCATACTTTGGGACTTATGAGCCAAAAGTTATTAACATGACAAAATTTCCTGCAGGGCTTTGCTGAACTGCACATATTTGTATACACACACATACATGTTTATATGTATATATCCGTGTTTGTGTGCGTGTATTCGTTTAGCATGTGTCCTTTAGCTGTCTTTATTTTCGCAATATTAAATTCATTAGTATGCGAAATTGTCCCGCAGCAAATACAAACACAAATACCAAGAAGTAGGTGTGCGCGCGTGTGTGTGTCTGCTTGTGTGTGTGTGTGTGTGTGTGTGTCTGTGTGTGTTTGTATTTAGCCACAAGTCTGTTGCATAGAAGTGCTGCCCGAGCTGCTGATGAAGAGCTGGCACTTAACGGTACTTGTGTGCCTCAACGCAACAGGCGAAGGCAAACAATTCTCAAGAATTTCCATGAATATGCCAGGCCTTCAACTAATGCACACAATATTAATAATAATAATAGTTATTATTATTATTAGTAACTGTGCCAATATTAAACATAAATAATGCATATTTACATTGTCCTTAAGACACGCTCATTGCCCGATGCATCAACATCCTTATGGAGTAGAAGAAGCTTAAACAGCTGTAATTCTGAGCTGAGCTGAGCATTTCATATTTAAAGCAAATGTACTTTAAATAATTATAGTGCAATGTGATGCAAGGAAGAACTACTTATAAACAATTGCCGATTAGCTCTGGAGGAGTTCAAAGGCGTGACAGCAAGACATTGTTAGACGTTCAATAAAAAGTTTTAAGCCCAATAAGAAGCTTTGATAATCGGATAAGATTCGAAGCAGCAAATGTCTAAACCTCTGATACACTACACTAGAATCACATTACATATTGTTCACACCTATGAAAATCTTAAACTTGTTGCGAATTACAAGCGTCAGGAAACGAAAACAACCAAAGTAAATATGGTAAACTGGCCTGAGCAGTCAAATATACAAACATTAAATGACATTTGCAAGGGATACATATAAAAATATTCAAAATAGTCTCTGGATTGTGTCCCAGATTAGTTAATAGCTAGGAATATACTAAATAGTAAGTGCAGATTGTCAGCTAGACATTAACTGTCAATTGTTTAATTGCCAGTTAGAGAAAGTGTGTGTGCAACTAACTAACTAACTAACTAACTAGCTAACTATTAAATTAACTACTATAACAACAATTGAGACAATCATATTAATGTGGCTGATAATAATGTTGATAAATACGCGCGCATAATGAAGCATTAAAAATTCTCCATAAACACCAAACAAATTGCCACAGTTATGTTGCACTTAAACCAGCTAAGGGGGGTGCGGTGCGGTGCGGTGTGCGGGGGCACTCGTTTGTCTGATGAATAAGCGAGTGCTACGAGTGCGACTATTAAACGAGTATAAAATATGAGTGCGATTTGAATGCCTCTCATGCAAGTCAAGTGCAGTGTGCGTGCAGTATTTGATAAATGCAAAAAACAAAATATAAATAAAATACAAAAAACAAATAAATAAAGAATCACACGCAATGAAAGTGTTTCTTTATGTTCAAACGAATTTTATGTAATTTGTTTTTAGGTGCATTTTAATTGATGCAGTGCGTTTTTTTTGTTTTTTGTTTTTGCATTCTTGATGCCCATACCAAAGCGAAATTCCTTGCGTTTATTGCCCGTGCCGTTGCCCATGCCCCTGTTGGGATTTCTAGCGCTCATGCCGGAGCCCGAGCCCGAGCCCGTTCCCGATCCCGGACCCGATCCCATGCCAGCATGCGAAGCTCTCACCCGCAATATGCGCGGCTGCGCCAAACGCTTCACGCGCGGCTGCAGCGAAGCTGCCGCTTCAGTTGTTGCTGCTTTTTTTGTTGTTTTTGGTATTAGTTCGATGTAGTTATGAATATGAATATACATATATGTATATATATATGTTAGGTGTGGTATGAATAGACAGAGACATAGACAATATATGACAGTTGAATAGGGAGTAACAGAGAGAGAGAGAGAGAGAGAGAGAGAGGGAGGGCACTGTTTTAGCATCAAAATGGTTTAGGCGCGCTCCAAAACTGTTGAGGAACGGGGCGGGGGCGGGGGCGGGGTCGATTAGTTGGTATGCATATGGACCGGAATCATTTGTATGATTTGCTCGATTCCACGTGGTTGAGTGGTAACGCACTTGACTTACTTTTCACACGCAGCCAGGTGTAGGCAGATTTATCGCCGGCCTCATTGCTCGCCAGGCATTGGAACATGCCCTCATCCTCCAGCGTCAGTTTTTTAATTATCAACGTATTATCAGCTTTCAGCGTGTATCTGCAATATGATTAACATCAATTAGTCGGAAGTACAAAACATAAAAAATAAAACTACGAGCTCAACGATTAAAATGCTTATGAAATAGCTGTGCTGGCATATTGGCACAGTTTTTTCTCTGTTAATTAAAGTGCTTGTGAGCTGTTCGGAAATCTAATTTAATATACTTTATTCAACAATTTTAATTTCTATATATTTACACTAGCTGAAAGGAGTTGATAAAAGTGTGAGGAACAATTTTCATCGTTCCATTATTCAAACAGTCGACTTGCATTTGCCAGTGCTGCACAACACTTAAAAGCGACTTGATGCGTGTTGTAAAACGCTTTCATTTAGTGTTGCTACGCACCTTTCTCACTCAAAATGCGCGTTAGCAAACGCATTCTGACAAAGATTTGCAATTAGTTTTCGACAATTGAATGTCAGTTATAACTCGATTTGTATACCCTCTTTTTTCTAGACATTAGCAGATCAGGCGACTTACAACACTTGAGCATTCCTCCACTAAATATGATATTAATTAAGAGTAGTTTTCCACTTACCCGCCAGTTTGTAACTGCGCCTCGATGCGTTCGGCATTGCGAAACCATTGAACCTGGGGCGTGGGATCTCCGACCACATCGCAGGGCAACATCACCTGACCCCCGAAATCGCCAAAGGTCTCGGCGCGCATGGCCGTAAAGAACATGGGCGGCTCTATGATCTGGACACGGGCGGTAGCCGTGACCGTTTGATAGCCACCGCTGCGCAAACGCACCTGGCAGCTGTACTCGCCGGAATGCGAGCTATTGGCTTGCAGCAGGGCCAGGGTGCGATTCCATGGATCGTTCAGGGTGTGCGATACGCCGGCATTCTCCACGGGCAGGCCATCCTTCAGCCAAATGGTTTCCAGTTCGTGCAGTGGTCGTGCATTGGCGATGCATTGCAGCTCGGCCACGCCCTCGCCGCGCTTCAGTTTGAGATCCTGCGGCGGCACGATTATCTCGGGCGCCACCTCCACATAGGGATCGCCAGTGACATTCAGATGGACAAACGCGCTCATCTCCTCCTTGCCCAGCTGTGTGTTCATGGCACGTGCACGATACGCCTTCCGATCGCTCTCATCGGCGCTCAACACAATCAGCTGATTCGCCTGGGTGACGGCATATTTGATCTCATAGTTAAGTGGACCCTCCTCCGTTTGCCAAATGACAGATGGCTTCGGCACCGAATCAATCGCTGGCATATCAAATATGGCCGGGTGACCGCTGACAACCGTTAAACGACCCTCGGTTATGTTCTCGAAGATGCCCATGTCTGAAAAATATAGCAGAAAGCTGAGCAAGAAGATCGAAATATGCGAGAAAAAAGAAACCAATTCGGCTTCAATATTCCGATTTTTTTGTTTTTAGTTTGGTTGTACCTTGTGCCACATTAGATGTCTACAAAAAAAGTGGAACTGAAACCCGAACTAAATAATATATTTATTGGAGTATTGGAGAAACCAAGGTTTGACCCAGAATCTGAGCTCGAAGATAAAACAGATCCACAAAAAGCGGAACTGAAACCGGAACCAAACCATATTTAGATTTCAATATGACCTGAGTTCATTAGTGTGGAAAAACAGGTAAACAATTCGCAGGTAGCTGGTTCAAACCATGTAAAAAAATTCGAATGCTTTTTATTCCTATTTTTTGTCTTGTTTTTTTTTTTGTTTATCAGGCCCAATTAGAATTTAATAGCCGCCAGTGACCTGAGATCTTCTTCAACTCCGGAGCAGCCCCCCTCTACCGAACCCACCCCCCCCCCCCCCCTTACCAATGGGCTCTTGTGTCACGCAAGCTAATTGAATCAAGCAGCGAACCAGCCTGGCCTGCGGGCTGGCAATTTTGTTTAACCTCTTATCAAGGGGCACAGCACAGCACAGCACAGTAACACACGCCTCCCCTCCGCCTGGCGCCCTTCTCCTGGACTCTATTTAGCTGGGCTGGTGGTGCCACCCCCAAAAAGCGTCTATATAGCAGCTATGAGCGAGCCGAGCGAGCACTGAGCTCTAAAGGTTATTAGTTCAGTTTAAGCGCACTCTTACAATTAATTAAGTGCTCAAGATGCCGCTACAAGTCAAGTCAGCGCCGTCTTGGGCCACTCCTTTCGAGCACACGAGTTGTCGCCATCATCGCCATCGCCATCGCCATCATCATCATCATCATCATCATCAGCGACGGCGACGGCATCGTGATTATCAAGTAGCTCGTCAGCTTCTTGGTTGGTGTGCCCGAAAAGAAGGTCACCAGCTTGTCAAGAGCTCGATTTATTAGGTTCAAGCAGTTGGGTAATGTGCACACACACACACACACACACACATACATGCACACACTCACATGTGAGCCACAGCTCAAGTGTCGCTCAGACTCTTCCTCAGTCTCCCACTTTGGGTGTGCGTGTCTCTCTCTGCGTGTGTGTGTGTGTGCTTGTCACACTTACTGCTCTCTAATTGTACGTTACTTGCTCTGTGACCCTATTGCCACAATGCTGGCTCTTGTTGTTGTTGTTGTTGCTGTTGTTGTAATTAAGTTCGCATTAAAGAAAAATTAGCAGCTATATGTACACAAGCCGAGTCGATATTGTTGTTGCCGCTGTGACAGGCTTTTGATTAGCAAACCTGCCCCCAATTGCCAGCTTGAAGTCCCAGTGCCACCCCCCCCCCCCCCATCCCTCACCATCCATCCGCCCAAGTTGAAAGTTGACACTTCTGCTGCACGTGAGGACTCTTCAACTGGAGTCAGCTAAGGTCCTGAAGCTGCCCCTTGTCCATGATTGGATCCGATTACGGCGCAATCTGATTGCTCTTAAGTGCTTTACCATTGCAAAAATGTATCTAAAATTAATTAACAGCTTCTAAATGATGTTGGCGCTTAATAAGCAATTAGGTTTCATTAACTATAAATTGTTACAATAATAGTTCCGCTGCGGTTGCTTTTAACAACAATTATTGTTTGGGCACATTCCCAAATCGATTATCGCTAAAAGCTCACAGATTATCTTTAAAGAATTGTAGCATATTTTTAGGCGCGGAGTTTCTATTTCGTTTGTACAAAATCATGTTGGTTTTTATCTTCGACCAGACAGGTGCGTTTCGAAACTAAGGCACACTGAAAGGTGAAAATCTTTTAACCAGTAAGGAACAATGGAATGAAACATTCACTAAAAAGAAGCGTTAAAGTAAACAGTTCCGATTCTGGCTCCAGGACTCCATCGTATGTGCAAATCCTTAGGCCAATAAGGAACACTGGAATGAAACATTCGCGTGAATAAAGGCTCTTCGATTGCTGCCTTCATTTAAAACTGGACTGAAACAAACGTGAAAATCCTTAAACCAATAAGGAACACTGAAATGAAACATTCGCTTGAACAAGAATTTTAAACATGCTCTTGGCCTTACTTTTACTTTTATCAAGACTTAATCGAACCCTGGTATAAAACATGGGTAAAAATCTTTAAGCCAATAGGGAACACTGGAATGAAACATTCGCTTGAATAAAACTTTAAAGTTATACATGTACTAAGCTTTATCTTAACTCTTTTCCAGACTTAATTATACGCTGGAATGAAACATATGTAGGTGAAAATATTTAAGGAACACTGGAATGAAACATTCGCTTGAACAAAAGCTTGAAAGTACAAAATTTTAATTACCTACATTTAAACATATTCTTAGCATTATCTTAACGTTTGTCCAGACTTAATCATACGCTGGAATGAAACATAGGTAAAAATCTTAAACCAATCACCTATTAGCCACATTGGCATGTCTGTTCTGTAAGTAAGGAACAGTGGAACAAAACTTTTGAAACTAATCGGTTAGTTATGTGGATCATATTTACAGAATTGAAGTGGGCTACGGCACAAGTTCGTGTACAAGTTTCTAGTCTTCTTGGGATTTTGAGTGCACCTCAAAAGTGTGGAGAATGTGTGCTGGCAATTTTGTTAAAGTCTTGAAAAGTTCGTCTTCAGTTTAGATGCCTCTCAAAAGTTGACAGTTTTTCTTTTGGCTTTTTAGGTAAATACGTTAAAAGTTTATCATTTAGACAGAGCTATAATTTGCCCCTCACATAAGCAGGAATGCCCTTAATTAACGTGTGTATTTTTGGTTATTTTTTTTTTGTCTGTCATTTGACGCCCACTTGTCATATATAATTATGAAAATGTCAAAATTTTTAATAAGCAGGCACGCGCTGGCATAATTTTTTGCCACAACATATAATTAATGGGTAGATGTTTTCCTTTTGTATAAGGATGCCATTCAAATGCAGCTGTTATGATATAATTATGAGCTGAGCTAACCGTTGCCTGTAGCTATTTATAAATATTCAATTGATTCAGCTGCGGTTATGTGTAGTTTCATAATTGTGGACGCAACGAAATGAGAGCTCCGCTAAATGCCAGCTTATCTAACTAATTTACCTAATGCTGCACAGGTCGGGTTTTTGCTCCTCTTTTTTTCGCAGAGAGAATAGCTAAACAAATATATGAATGTATTTATTCGAGCTATAAATTATTGCACAAAGACCTTTTTATGACAGTAGCCATTGAAATTGAATGAAAAAGGATACTAGAGCTTTGCACAGCAACAGGCATATCAGACCACATCAAGCATTTACATATATAGATGGGATAAAACATGCATGAACATGTTTAAGCCAATAAAGAACGTTGGGATCAGACGCGTTAATGTATAGTATAGTATAGATTACTTGGACGAGATTTTACCTAACTTTTACTTTCATCAAGACTTCATTAAATGCCGGAATAAAACAAACGTGAAAATCTTAAAGCCAATAAGAAACATTGGAATGAAACATTCGCTTGAACTTGTCATATATCCTTATATCTCAGAGACTATGATAGCTGGAGACCGAAAGTTGGGACGAAGGTCTGTCTTTGAAATCAACTATAGCTCAGTCCGTTTCTAGTTAAGGTTCCTTGCCCATATTTCAGAAATTTTGTTTTTATTGTAATTTAGATTCAAATATAATACACCTCCTAAAAAAATTGTTTTAACTTGTACACACATTTGGATGCCAGATTGTAGCCCAGAAAGTAGTCATAACGATCGGACTATAAACATCGATCACAGTGTGAAAGCAGAGTAAAGAATCAGCACGAAACACAGTGTGCATGCGACTGTGAATGTGTGCAAAGAAGGGAGAAGTTTCGCATTTAAGTTAAGTATCCTTCAGTTGGTCAGCCAATTTGATTGTTCTATTATTAATGCATATAATGAACGCCTTGAGCCGCGGGCAAGATGATTTTCAATGAACGGCATTTGACGCGTTTGAGCCCATTCAGCGGCGGCATCAAAAGCGACTAAGCCATTGGCCAAGCGGCTTATAATGCGCAATTTGTGTGTGTGTGTGTGTGTGTTGGTGTACCTGTTATGGGAATTAGGTCCAAAATATGCCAATATATAATACAGAGACAGTTAGTTACAAAAGTTTTCACACACACAGTGGCCAGCCGGCTAATTAAAATGGCTTAGCGCCCATTTCGAAGATGGGACTCTTGATTTGGGAAACCAAGCCATACGATAACTGGCTACATAATATGGCCCCAAAGAGGCCACTGATGTAATACAAATATGTGTGTGTGTGTGTGTGTGTGTGTGTGTGTGTGTGTGTGTGTGTGTGTGTGTACTTACAGGCAACAACAACGTCGCTTTTCTCACTGAAAATCGAGCCAGCCTCGTTCCTGGCAATGCACTGATAGCTGCCGGCATCCTCGCGCTTGGTGATGTGAATGCGATAAAATTGACTGGATGAATAATCGGCAACGGGTATGCCATCCTTGAGCCATCGATATGTGGGCTGCGGCGAACCTGTGAATAAAGTTCAAGTAAAGCGCATAAGTAAATCTATGTAAGTGCATGTACATATGTGTGTGTGTGTGTGTGTTTGTGTGTGTGTGTGTGTAAGGAGAAGTGCTGCTGCAGGAGCAGCTACAACATAGATAGTTGCCACAGCGGCAAGCGGGCGGGGCCATGTGGCAACAGCAGCAATTCGCGCTCGTATTGTTGCATAATGAACATGTTTTTCAAACCCATATCTCTTCGACTTCTGCTGCTGCTTCTTCTTTCCTTTTTTTGCGATTAAATCTTATGCTGGCCACGCCCGGCGCAAAAGAGGATATTACTTATAGTTTTCGCTCAGTGTGTGTGCGTGTGTGTGTGCGTGTGTGTGTGTCGGCTCGTTGACTATTTGTTTGAGCTTCCGTTGGCTATCGAGAGACCCGCAGCATGTTGCAAGGCTGCAAGCAACGGGCAACGAGCAACGGCCACTGGCTGGAACATGTCAGTAGGGAGCACAGTTTGCAGCAACTCGATTTGGCACACAATTTAGCCAAATGCGATCGGAGCCGGCAGCTAAATAAACGACTTTTACTGTATTGTCGCAGCGACAGTTTTGATACCGATTTGCCGACAAGCATTTAATTTAAAGTTGATTTATATGCGGCAAAGTGTTGCACAGTTCCTGTTGCTCTCGCTACGGAATGAAATTCCAATTGCAATTTCTAAACAAAAATTGCATGTGGCCGTTGGCTGTGTGTTGGTCCAACATCGGTTGCCAGTTGCCCGTTGCCCGGCTAAATGAGGCTTTGAATAAAATATTCGCTTTACCTAACTATAATGTGCTCATTCCACAGCCAACCCGGCTGATATCTAAACGCAGAATGTCGGCTGCCCCACGGCATGCAACAGGATGAGTCCAGTTGCTCTCCCAGCTGCAACTGCAACTGCAACGGCTTAAAACAGCCAAAAGTCGTTAGGCTGTGCAGCAGCCTCTGCATTTAGTTCCGATTCGAAATCAGACGGACAGGCCGCAGGGCAGCACATTTTAGCGAGCCAAGCGCGAAGCGAACACAACTTTAGCAAGTAATCCCATAGATTATGTAAAACACGCCGATCAACGACTTGCTAATGCCCTTTAAACAAAACAGGCGTGCTGTGTGCATTAAAAATAAATTGAAAACTTTTTAATTGAGCTCTTAGTGCAACACAAAAACCATTTCAAGCAACTTTTCAACTTTATCAAACATATTTGGCGCTTAACTACACATTTCACACAGATTTCGAATATATGTATATATACACACACACACAAAAGTATATATATGTATATACATATATATTGTTGTTTTAATTATGGCTCTGATTTCTTGCTTTTCTTTAATATATCATTATATTCACAATAAGATTTTCTTAAAAATTGACAGTTTATTGAATCGCTTTTTAAGCATTTTTAAGAAGTTTGCCACGGCAACTTTTACCTTCGCCTGGCCACAAATACAAACATTTTGTCTTGTGCATATTTCGAGTGGCGCTTCAAGTTGGCAAACTCTTGATATATATATATTGAATTCAAATAATTAGTAGGCCTCTATATACCCTATCTGACAGGTTTTAGCCAAAATTGCTGGCTGATTCGTGGCAAATTCGATTCAGCATCTATTTTTGAAAGTCATTTCACATTCATGTTCCAATTTAATTTTAAATTTGATAAGATTTACAATCTCATAGACTTTTGCCACTAGAGCATAAATAAGGAATATCATAAAATGCATTTTTAGCCACATTAAAAGAAAGCAAGTTTCCACATCAGCTATACATAAATTTATATACACATGTTCTCCTTCAGGAACCAGCTAGTCTTATCAAATTTTATTTATAGATAATCCAATATATTTGAATAAAATTTAACTTCTTAATTACTTGTGATCATAGTAAAAACTCACAATCTAGATATAAAAATAGAAATCTACATATAATATATATTATATAAATATTTATTGCTGATTTTAGTGACCTTTCCATTTTGTAAATCTTTCTTTTAGCTTTATTTAGTTTATTAAAAACAAATAAACAATTTTGTTTTAATCTATATTTTTCCGATACATCTGGATACAATATATATTATATAGATATCTATTTTTGAAAGGGAAATCAAAAGCGATCTTATTGATAAGCTAAGATTTCACTATAAGGCCTTGACTCATTTGTTCATGATAAAGTGATATGTGGATGCTTCCTTATTTTATAGAAGGATGTAGGCGTGCTTGCTTCAAGGTCGGAATGAATTGTTCAGTAAGGCACTAACTTTGCGATCTGAATTTATTTTATTTATAAATTTGTAGATGGTGAACGATCATCGGTGAAGAAGTGTTCGACAAAACTCGAAGCATTTTTTACAATTTTATTGCCCAACTTTGGGCAGAAGCACGTTAGCAATATCGGCACAGACAGGTCGATTGCGGATCAGATTGTTACTTCTTAAGGAATGTATCGGCACGTGAAATGCGACACAAATCGGCTATTTACTTACTTTATAATTCGCTAAGAATTGAAAATTTCCCAGAGCATGCTCAAGTTCAGTATTTGCAAACATGTCAACTTTTTGTTGTCTGCAAATTATTGAAGCAGCTGTTAATATTGCACAAAAATCAATATATACTCAGACAAGACAATATTACAGGGTATACACTATAAAAGCAGTAGCAGCAGAGAGAGAGAGAGAGAGAGGGAGAGAGAGCGAGAGCGATAGAGATATATAGAGAAAACGTGGCCAATGGCAATGCAATTGCATTTATTTGGCAGCACTTTGGCAGGCAGCAGACTAAATCGAATTGGGCAGAGACAGCCAAAGCTGAAATGCTAGACGCGAAAGAGCCAAAAACAGTGTAGTCCGTAAGAGTCGAGCCAGTGCCAAAAAAAAAAAACGAGAAATAATAATAAAGGAAAAGTAAAACGCAGAAGGGAAAAAGTTCCTTCAAGTGTTGGCCGGCATAAAAAGTTGGCCGGCAAGAGCTGGGCATTTGGGCAATGACGCTGCTATAAAATTACAATTTGGGGAATTCTAAGGCAAATATACACACAGCACAAATGCAGCACACACACACACACACACACAGGCACGCACACAGGCGCACTTAGTGCTCGCTTTGGTCAACAGCAGGAGCAGCAGAAGGCTCAATGAAAAAGAAGCAGCAGCCGGACTCAGACGCAAAAGTAAATGCACTGAGAAAAACAAAAAGACAAAAAACAAAAAAAAAAAAGAAATAGCATTCTCCAGCGATATGTGTCAGCGTTAAATCGAAGTGAAAGCCCCAATAAGCAGAGCAGCCAACCGACCAACCCACACACAAACACACACACACACACACACACACACACACGCACACCCAGTGAGTGGCCTCGGAGCCCAGTTCGTATCGCTGCCATCAAAGCCTTGTCGCTGCAGGGTCCACTCAAACAGACAGGAGTGTGCCAGTGTGTGTCTGTCTGTGTGTGTGTGTGTGTGTGTGCGTGTGTGTGGCACAAATGAGTTTTTAATAACTAAACTGACAAATCCTTTAAGCCTAAGCCATGCCCAAGTCAAAGTACGGAGTGTGAGCAAAATCAACGATTGAAACGCATTGCAACTCGTTTCATTTTCAGGCACCTTTGAGAAGTGGGAAATTGAACTACATACGTTAATGCGTGCGATTATCAGGATAATTCATGGTTATTTCATTCCATAAAAATCTAGTTTCAAATTTTGCTGACGGGCAGTAGAAGAAGCTTAGAGCTTATTGTTTGGATAAAATATACTTGTCGTTGTAGCCATATACATTTCCGTTTGTTAACTCTCTTCAAAATCGATAACTGTTCGTAAATCGATAACTGTTCGAAAACCGATCGATTTCGATAGCGTCATATGCCTATTATCGATTAATATTGTTTTTTTTATTTCATAATTATTTAGTTAAAAGTGGAATGGATAAGAGATTAGGTGCTCAGTTAAATATACGATTATTTTTAATTTGGATACGAGGTATCCACTAGTCGGCTACAATGAAAGAACCTGCGCTTATGGTTTTCTAGGCATGCAAGTATATAAGTCCGTTGCTTTAAAATCTGGCACGTGATAATTTTAGCATTAAAGCTTGCAACGATAGATTTCAACTCTTTCACAGTAATTCGTTGAAGCGTATTGTGCACACTTTGAGCGCTGTTTTGATGGGGCAGGGCAGTTAGGTGACTCTCTCACTCACTCGAAGGCTGGCAAAGGCTGTAAATGAAATTCGTTTTCGCACTCAGTGACTCAATCGCTCAATCAATCAATCGTTCAATCAGTCAATGTCTAAGCAAGCGACTGCATATAAATAAATTCAATAAACTGGCGACGCAACGCAACAAATTGCATTTGCTCGCTTCTATCTACTGCATGTGCTCCGTGTGTGTGTGTGTGCGTAGTAATAAATGTATGTAATGATGTACGTGTACGTGTGCGTGTGCGTGCGTGTGTGTGTGCACCTCATTCTGTTCCGCTGTTGCTGCTATTACTCAGTACTTGGCTCGCACAAATGTCGGAAATTGTTTGATTTGTGGCCGCCTTTTTGAAAAGCTCCAGAGTTGTCAAGTTCCAGTCTTATGATGGCTCGCAACTCGTCTACATGCTCGACTCTCTGCCACGAGAGCTGATGCTGCGGATTCATAACCTCGGCAGAGCGACATCAAATGTTTTGTCACAAATTGTCAAGGGCCCTGATGACATACAGCCGAGCTCGATAATCTTCCTCTAATGTCTCAGTTTGTCAATAGAAAGCACTACTGTACTTGCAGCTGCTGTTGTTGTTGTTGTTGTTGCGGTTAGAGTTGTCGCAAATGTTGTTGGTTTTTATTCATGTGTCCTCATCGATCTCTGGCTATTGTGTGTCTTACTTATAACTTGGGGATTTATTGACGTGGAAATCTGGGAATACCCTGTATTACTATGCAAATGCATAAAAGTTGTATAAGAAAATTTGGGAAAAAAAAACAGCAGAGATATCTAAGTCTCACAT